ACAAGTAAATTCACAGTGATGTGGAACCATCACTACTGTTCATCTTCCTCAACTGAAATGCTGTCATAATGTAATGTCATGTCCCTTTGCTGCTGCCCACAACCCTTAGCAAAGAATATTCTGTTTTATGCCTCATGTTCTTCCCAAGGACCTTCTTAATGGAATTCCACAGTTTTGATATGTGTTTGGCTTATTTCACTTAGTTTAATAATCTCATTTTTCTTATATGATATCAACTGTTTGATCATTTATCACCCTCCCAAGATTGCAAATGGTAAAAGTAATCTACCTTTTGCAAAGATAGTCCCCCTCACCCCCACACACACTTTACCATGGTGTTAAATTTTGGCTATGGCCTGTTCCTCCAAAGATCTCAACTGTTACATCCTTGGCCCCTAAGGTGATGATGTTGTTGAATGTTCAGGATACTTTAGGAGTTGGGACATAGCTAGAGGAAGCAGATAGCAGGAGCTGTGCCTATGAGAATTTAAACTCATACCTACATCCTTCATTTGTCCCTGATTTCTGTACATTATGAAGTAAGTATTCCCACATTATGATGTAATTACCCCCGTCACCTCCACATTCTCTTACCATGATGATATCCCTCACCACACACCTGGAATCAATTCAAAGCATGGTTGGATATCTCCGGAATGTAAATGAATGTAATATTTCCTTGTTTTCATCTGGAGTAATTTTGTCACAGATGTGGAAAACTAACCAGCATAGATTATGTGAGTTATGGTGGTTCAATTGTATATGAAAGAACGATGATTCTCAATAGAATCTGAACTTGGAACTTTGAATGTGGGTCCTTTCTCTGGAATTGCAAAATTCATTCTGGTCTACTCTTATAGTGCTTGATAGTGGTAGTACTCTGTGTTTCTGTCTCTGTATCTCTCTGCCTTTGCTTGTCTATTTTGTATAACTCTGTCTCTGTTTCTGAATCTCTTTGAGTCTTTAGTAGAAATCACCCATACAAAACGTAAATTACACATAGTCCTGGTGTCTCATTCCAAATCCATTTAATTTACAAACACTGACTTGATGAAGGGTTCCAAGTGTAGATATGAATTCATGTGGACATAATCATTGCTTTGTAATATTGATAGTTTTGTATCTTCCATCCTCATTGTCACCCCATGTGCACAGAACACCTTTATGTTTAAGTGTATAGGGCTATGCATGTGTTTGTGTGCATGTGTGTTCCCAGAGTCTATTTTGAAATTGATTTGAATCAGCCCTATGGCTGATGTATCTGTCATACTCTTGCATTTACAGGCAATTCTGTTCTCCACCTATGATACCTGTGCAACTTGAGCATCCTCACCTTCTAGTATAGACCACTTTCCAAAATGGGTATTCTTAAGTATATTAAAATCATCCCAGATTTCACTTCTGTTTGTGACATAATAATTGAACAAGATGTAGCCCGTTCTCAGGGCATCTCTCTTTCTCCTTTGACTTCCCTCACATACAGTACAGTCCAAATCACTAGACCTTCTGATCTTCCTTAACCACCTTATGGATATTACCCACAAGACTGGGAACACAGAACTTTATTCCTTTGGAGTTTTGTCAGGAAGACTGGGTCTGGATTTGGTAAGCTGGTTTGTTGTGTCTTTTGCTAGTTGAGCACAGTCTTAGTTTTCCTATAGTTTATGTAGGAAAAATATTAAGTCTAGTGTGGAACACGCAGAGAGTTTGAGACCAACCTGATGTACATAATGAAGCATTATTTCAAATATCTATCTCAAACAAACTATCTCTACCAAGAAAGCAAACGCTTTCCTAGAATACACATGGATTTCAAGGCCAACTTGAGTACTTTAGCAAGAAATTCTCTTTGTTAATGATAGGGGTAGTTCATGGTATACAGCTTATTTAATGTATACAATACTTTAGCTTCAACCTAAAATGACAGATAACAATTGATCAGGATTATCCAACCAAAGAAAATGATGGATATCAATATTCTCTCTGATTGGATTCCTCTAGCCACTGAAAGAGATTATAGGAATCAGCTTTCAAAATCTCTCACCCATGTGTCTCCATACATGATACTTCTTCTAGAAACTTCAGGCATCCTTACTCTTCTACATGGGCTGAATATGTTTTCTTCTCCTCTCTTATCCTTCGTTTAACTGAATCCACATGTGCCATCCTCTCGGTTCTCAGATTAGTAAGTGTGTTTTGAACTTGCAATTCAGTGTAGGTCTGAGGCATAAGTTGCATCCTCAGGCTAGTGAAATTATTTCAAACACACACACACACACACACACACACACACACACACACACA